TGCAGACAAGTGAGGAGACTAAAGGAAAATATCAATTATGGGATTATTCATTGAATAGATAACAAATTCTCCAAACCAATGTAATGAGAATTGTTTGGCAGTAGTAAGGAGATTTGATAATGAGATCTTGGGAGTTAAAGGGTTAACTCCCAAGATCTCACAAGTAATTCTCCATACTGTCAGTCATGCAGTTCTCATGATGTTAGTTTGGAGTATTTGATATTGGATCCACTTGTAATCCTCTAATTGATATTTTTCTTCATTCTCATTGATCACTGGTCTGCTTGATGTTGTATTATTATTGTAAGGAGAAATTCTGTCTTGGTCATTCGTGGGAGTTAAAGTCTTTAATTGGTGACTGTTGGGTTCTGGCTTCACAAGCTGCAACAGTTTCCAGTTCTGTAGAGAATCCTTGAATTTTTCATCCCTTATATTTTGCCTGGCAGAAAGAAATTCTAACAACAACAACTGCTGTTCAAACAAGATTTAAAATAGGAAGAAAGATTTAGAGGATTCATGTTTTTTTTTTCTTTTCTTTTCAAATAGAAACGAACAGGGAATAAGGGATGGGATTTCTCTGATGGACTAGTACCTCTTCCAGAGGAAGAAACAATTGATAAAAATTTGCTTCACACAATTGCTCTCCTGCTGTAGGGTTGAAAGGTGCACCAAGTTTTCCAATAGTGGTAACCAAAGTAACACCCCATTTGCTGTCTTTGTACCGGGTATTTTTGCAAATGCACTGCTCAAATCCCCTGCTTCCATCTATCTCCCAAGGGAAACTAGTATTTCAAATGATTAACCCAGCATATTTTCTTTTTTCATAACTCTTTTCTGTTTTGTTTCCATTTAAAAGATTATCCAGACTCCAGGTTTATGGGAAAAGGATGGTGCCACAGGAGGAGTAACCCTTACAACAGCAGGGTCACAGGTCATTTCAGGTTGCAGTGGAATGTGTTTACTTACATGACAACTGAAGTTTTATTTTAAGTGCGTCTTGTAAATAGAGAATTTAGAAGAAATATTTCATTGTATTCCATTTAGTTATTCTGGAAATGAAATAGAACCTTATGGTACTTTCCAATCCTAAATTTACCCACTGAACTTTAAATTATGTTAACCAATAAATATGATCATTTTTTACAGTTTTAAAGGAATCTAGACTTGCCCTTTAATTAACAAATGAAGAAGCCTTGACTGTGCTTTGTTTTGTTGTAAAGCACGCAGGACGCAGCTAGAGCGTGAAAGAAGTGTATGGAGAAACACAAGACCTAGTCAAGTGTTTCTCCCCACTTCTTGACAAGAGTGAATGGCTATGGAAAGTTGATGTGATTGTTGTAAATGAGATCCAACAGAGAAACCTCTATTTTCTTAGAATGAGATATTGAAAGTGTATGAAATTTAAGGGTGTACCCTGCCACCCCTCACTTCCCAGCAGAGGTCATCATGAAACATCCTTTTCTTGCAATTTTTATTCACATGGGAGGTAGTGGGAACTAGAAATGTTTTCAATAGAAGGAATTGCTTTGATCCTAAACGAAATTGGTAGTTTTAGTCAAGAATTCCTTTGTTATTGTCAAGGAGAAACAGCTTTTAAATCTTGACTTTGGAAGAGACTCAGGGTTTATAGTAAACAGTACAAACAAACAAGAGTTGTACACTGCGATCCATGCAGGCATGCTAAGAGTTCTCCATACTGAATATTTCCTTAGCTTTTTACAATTTCTTCAGGATAACCTGTATTGCAGGCGGACTATTTAAACCTGATGATCAAGTCCTGAA